TTGGGAAGCATTCGTAGAAACGCAGCCCAGGGCCAGCCTGGGCTCGGGCGGGAGAAAGATGGCAGCACCGGGCTTGCCCACCCGTGACTGGGGGGGATCCGTGGACCATGGAGGCAGCACTCCTCTCACCAGCAGGACTTCTCATACATGCATCCGAGCTGCACACGCTTCTTTCACATGGATTCCACGTGCTCCTTTGGAAAGAACGAAAAGCATTTATTTTTTCAGTCTTGAACAATATTTGTTAGGTAGCAGACACTTTCCAGGCAGAAGAGTCACACAAATTATGTGTGCTGTTATAATAATAACTAGGAATTTACCATGGATTATGCCATTTGGATTTTTTCAAAAATCCTATGAATTAGGTCCGTTTACTATCCCATCTTTACATACGAAGTAATGCAGCTAGAGGCTGGCTTGCTCAATGCAGAGAAGGAAAAGTGCTTGTTCTTGTTCATACTACTCTCCTCCCTTGTCCAGCTGGCCCATAGAGTGGACTCACTGAAGACAGATCGGTGAGCAGAAAGCGTGCACATTCACTTCATGTAAGTTTCTCACACACGGAGCCTTCGTGAGGGACCCGAGACGCCCAGGAAGGTTAAACAGTGTTTTTATACTGGGTCACGCGAAGAGCAAGTTATGGGAAATGTGACAGGACAGAGGGTGTGAGACAGGAGAGGTCAGAGAGTCCTTCCTGCACCTGCTGTTTCTCAGATGCCTCGGCCTGGAATATCCAGTTGCCAGGTGCCATGCTGGGGGCAGAGTCTCAAGCTCTCTAAGCTGGACTGTAAAATAAGTGACGTTCACACCCATTTACACCTCAGACCCACCTGAAGCGCTTTCGAAAACTACAGATTCCTGGACCCAAACCTGAGGATTCTGACTCAGGGGCCTCTGGTGGGGCCCGGGGTGTCTGTGCACTTCATAACCTCCGCTGGGGACTCTGACCTGAGATGCCCACCGGGCCCTAAATGTAGTCAGTTACCCCGCAGTTAGCTACGTCTACATCAGAGCAGCCTTCTGATGAGGGAAGCTGCTGAGGGGCAGCCGCAGAAACTCATTAAGAGAAAGCGCAGCTAGAGCACCTGTGTGCCAGGTGAGGCTAATTACACCACGAAACCCTCCCTGTCCGCACGCGGGCGGATGCGCCCTGCGAGCAGCTGGGAGAATGCGCCCACTCCACAAACGCAGTCAGAAGGTGGGCGGGCGTTCGCTGAAGGCGCGTCTCTTACAGATATTCCAAAATCTGCTTGATCACCCAAAACATTTGGTCGCATCAAATCAAGGGGAATTCATCGGAATAGAATTTGAATCTGAAAGCTCACTCGCAACAGTTCAGATCATTTTCTGGGGAGAGCTTCATATTTATACATAAGTTGTTTTTCTATTTTCTTTATCAACAATTTCATCTAGAAGTCTCAGAGTTACTTTCTGTAAAAGCAAGATTTTTTTTTTTAAGTTCTTTTGTTTATTGTCATTAATATAAGGGTTTCAATTGTGGAAATGGCTTATAAAATGTATTACATTTTACAATTGACTTTGTTTTTCTTTAGATGTTTCAGTGGTTATCCATGAAATACGAGAATAATAATACTTAACATTTATTGAGGGTTTACTCTGTTATGCACCATCCCACTTAATTTACATATATATCTCTCTATAACCTCACTTAGTTCTCCCAATAGCTGCTTATATTAAGTTTTATTCTCCACCCCTTTTATATGATGAGAAAACTGGGATAGGTCGCCCAAGGTCACTCGGATGGAGCTGGGGCTTGAATCCCTCAGACTGATTCCAGACCTTCCTCTCTCATATTTAGGTCAGTATTTTCCAAAATATGAATTTTGGGAAGTGAATTGCACAAGATATTATTAAGGGATTTTTGGAAGAAAAAAAGTGTGGATTAACTAAATAAGGTTTGGGAATTTGGGCTAAACAAATGAGTTCCTTTCCTATATGATTTTTCAGAGTGATGGAGCCATTTTTGGGGTCTAGCAATCTGAACCTGTGCCATTAACCTAATACACATTCTCATTAGCCTATAGTCTAGTCTCTGCCCCTTTAATTGTCTGGTCCTGCAAGACCTGTTTACTCCCATTTTAGAGAGGCCATAAACTGTCCCCAGACGGAGTGACCAGTGCTGGCGCCAGGCCATGCCTTTAGTTGTGGTCTCAAGGCCACAGCACATGGGGCTCTTTAAGAACTTGCAAAGGGGACCGGAAAAACCCTTGTTTGGGAGACAAAGAACTGGAAAAAGTATAAATAGGGAAATCTTACTCCATGTTTTTGCCCAGAAATTTGAAAGACATTTTTCTCTGGGCCTGCACGTAATAAGAATAAAGTGTAGCTCCATTTCTTTGAGCGTTGCTTGTTTTTTCTCCGGTCTTCTGTAACAAGAGCATCTAAAACAGGGGTCCTCAAACTTTTTAAACAGGGGGCCAGTTCACTGTCCCTCAGACCGTTGGAGGGCCGGACTATAGTTTTTTTAAAAAAAAACTATGAACAAATTCCTATGCACACTGCACATATCTTATTTTGAAGTAAAAAAACAAAACGGGAACAAATACAATATTTGTATTTGCATGTGGCCTGTGGGCCGTAGTTTGAGGACCCCTGACCTAAAAGGTCATAAACTTTGCAAATCTCTAAATTTTAGAGTCTAAAAGTCAAATGCAGAATGTAACATTCCCCGGTCCTCCTTGAACACAACTCTTCTTGGTCGAGTCTTTTCAGACCACCGGCCTGCAGTCTGAGTCTATGAAATAATCACCTGCAAATCAGAGATCGGCAAAGCGGTTTACAAATCTCCCTGCCCAGGCCACGCTTTTACTGCCCTTTCACAGGGGCATAGGAAGGCCCGCCTGGTGTGCAACTGCAAGTTGCCACTAGGTACCTGTGCTCTTTACTTTAAAAATGATTATGCAGGTAAATTGGTAATACTTTCCTGGGGAAACTTTTACCTGTATAAATGCAAAGCCTCTCAACCTTGGGAAGTTCAAGGTCAGTCACTGGGGTAGGAAGAAAATATTAAAACATCAATTTAAAACTCACTTTTGAATTTTTTTAAATATGTTTTGCTAGGTATGTGTGTGTATAAAACGTGTCAAAATTATAAATTTTATTTATAATTGTTTATTACTACTATAACTATAATATTTAAGAATATATTGTTTGAGCCCTGGCCAGTCTGGTTCAGTTGGCTGAGCATCATCCCATGCACCAAGAGGTCACAGATTCTATTCCTGGTCGGGGCACAAGCCCAGGTTACAGGCTCTATCCCCAGTAGGGGGCAGGAAGGAAGCGGACAATCAACATATCTCTCTCACTGATGTTTCTCTCTCTCCCTCTCTCTCAAAAATCAATAAAAAACATATTTTTAAAAATATATATATATGATTTGATTATGTATTATATTAAATATGTATTATATACTATAAATATTTATAAATTATGATATTAGAATAGTAAAATTTATATACTTTGCAAATAATTTTGTATACATATACATTTATATATGATGGGTTGCAATAATATTGTAATAGCAAAATATACAATAGCCTAGGCTGTGGTTGGCAAACTGTGGCTCACAAGCCACATGCGGCTCTTTGGCCCCGTGAGTGTGGCTCTTCCTAAGCCATAGGAGGACCCTAATTAAGTTAATAACAATGTACCTACCTATATAGTTTAAGTTTAAAAAATTTGGCTCTCAAAAGAAATTTCAATCGTACTGTTGATATTTGGCTCTGTTGACTAATGAGTTTGCCGACCACTGGCCTAGAGAAAAGCCCTGTAAGTAAAAAATAAATAAAAAATTAAAAAGTACAAAAGATGTTGAGTTTTTATGCCTAGCAGAAAGGACTACAATGATAAACAAAAATGTTATTAGTGATGGCCTTTAGTAGTGGGAAAGGGGGAAATTTCCATTTTCTTTGTGCTTCCTTGTGTTGTCCTCATTTGGGTACAATAGATGTATATTTCTAATAAGTACTACATTCAGAGTTCCAGTTTTGGCAATTATAAAAGGGCATTCAGTAACAAAGTCTTTTCCCAGACAACCCACTGCCTCACAATTATCCAAGGGTACTGGTGTCTTGTGCAAAGGATGCGTTATGTTGATAAAATGTGTTCAGTTACATGTATTCTTTTTACCTTTCATCACACACACAACCCACAGTGTTTCACTGCTGTGTTAAATAATCTTGTACACCTGTCATTTCCTCCGTGCGGGGCTTTACCTGTAGGATGAAAACATGGATAAAAAATTCTTGAAGTAGAATGGCTAGTTCAAAAACACACCTGTGCCGTTTGGACACATACTGCCCTGTGGAAAGTACGGCCATCCTCTGCAGTCAGGAAAACACTTCCATGTTCGGGCTTTTGGTTTTGGTTTTGACACTTCAGTTTAGATGCCTTTACAATTCAGCGGTTCTCAACCTGTGGGTCGCGGCCTCTTTGGCGGTCCAATGACCCTTTCACAGGGGTCGCCTAAGACCATCCTGCATATCAGATATTTACATGACGATTCATCACAATAGCAACATTACAGTTATGAAGTAGCAACGAAAATAATTTTACGGTTGGGTCACAACATGAGGAACTGTATTTAAAGGGCCAGAAGGTTGAGAACCGCTGCTTTACATGTACCCTGGCTGCATGGACGCTCGAGAAAACAAATGACTTAAAATGTGCGAAGTCCCCCCGCAGGGGAAATTCAAGAGCTGCCCGTCGCACCTGTTAGGTCACAGGATCCGGACGCAGAGGGAACGCTGTGGCTGAGGCTCGGCTTACACACAGGGGACAGCAGCCTAGCCCGCGGGTCATCGGCGTCCGGGACACACCGCAGTGGAGAGGCGAGTTTCACTTCAGTAGACCCCAAGGCGCTGGCTGGATCTGCATCCCGAAATAGTGTAAGTTGCTTTAATCGTTTAAATAAAAAGAAGGGCTCCGGGAGGGGTGGCGGCCTACATGAACGGCGGACAGCGTGAGAGCCTGGAAAGGAGCTCCCATTCCCCCGGCCCTGCTCCCCAAGCCGAGCAGCTGCTGAAATGTCAGATGGATTTGCACAGCTGACTCAAGTTGCCGAAAAGAGAGCAGCATGGTGGCTCGGTAAACTGCGCCTGCAGCCAAGCCCGGCTTAATATAGACGCTGGGGCCCCGCCGAGTGCTCCTGCTGCCCATCCAGCGTGGTCCTTGGGGGGATCGCTCAGAGGGTGTTGACCTGGGACGCTTGTCAACCGGGGAGACTTCTTGAGAGCTTTTTAAGTCCTCCTTGATTATTTCTCCTTTTCTAGGAAGATAGAAGAAAATACAGAAAAGAATCATGTCCGAGCACAGCAGGAATTCAGATCCAGAAGAACTCTCTGATGAGGAGATTGATGAAGATAAAATCTTGGCCAACTTGTCCCCGGAAGAGCTGTTAGAGCTGCAATCGGAAATCGAAGTCATGGCCCCGGACCCCAGGCTTCCCGTGGGAATGATTCAGAAAGATCAAACCGACAAGCCCCCCACGGGCACCTTCGACCACAAGTCGCTGGTGGATTACATGTACTGGCAGAAGGCGTCCCGGCGCCTGCTGGAGGACGAGCGCGTCCCCGTCACCTTCGCGCCCTCCCAGGTAACCGGGGGCTGTGCGCACCGAGCAATGGCGCCGGCCTGCCAGGGGTCCGCGTGGCAACAGATATTTCCCAAGATTTCATGTCTTGAGTTGTTTTGTTGCCACTTAAAGATTAAATCATAATATTTAAGGTTGGAACTCTCTGAAACATACGGTATAGCTGTGAGGGGAAAGTTGGTCGTTTCTTATAAATGCCTCTTTTTTTAAAAAAAAAAAATTGCTTTTGAGTTTGCTGTGTAGGAAAGCTTGTAGTCTATAGACATGATATTTCATGAATTAACTCACAACCCAGAAAGAGTTTTTCTTAATCATTGTTTGGCTCACAAGCCCTTTAAGACGCTGATGAAAGTTCTGTGCCTTCGCTTCAGGCATGTACATACACATGCCGTATTTCACATACAGCTGCAAGGTGCACAGTCCCCTGAAATCCATCCACATACCCTACAATTGGACCAATCAAATAACTGAAAATAGCCAATATTCCCACAGGTCACTTGATAACAGTGATTAGTTTAGAGATGAATACCTATTAAGCTGTTTTAAATGTTTTCCTATGAAAAGTAGAATTGTGGTTGAATCTATAAATGGATTGTATTTAGCAGATTTTTTCTAATAGAGATCCCCCAAGTAAAGTCTCTTTTCGTTATCCCTGATAATACCGATAGACTTTGTCACATTAACTGTCACACTGGCCGCAGGTGGACAAGTTATAACTGTTCAGGTCAGGAAAATTTAAACAGGAACTCAAGAACACAAATTGCTGGCTTGATAAGGTTAGAAATTTAAGATTCAATTTTCAGACATTTTACAATTGGAGTAAAAGCCAATTCTATATGAATTATTCCAGAAGAAAACTAGATACTTTTCACATCTTTTCTTCTCTTGATAGAATTTAAACAGCTTGATGTCTGGCTCCCCCTTCTGGGGAAGATGACAATTGCTAAGGGACTGTCAACTGTCTCTCCCAACCTACAGTGTTATGTGCAAAAACATCAAGTTCTTGTTCGGATGAACCTGTGACTCAAACTGCTAAAACCAGCTTTCAAAATGATACCTATGAGACATACTGGGCAGCGATCTAGCAAGCAGTACTGATAAAGACAGCCACTTTCCTTCCCAGATAAGCAATTTTTCCTAAATCTCTGCATAATCCTGTCCCCTGTGCAGCTGGAAATATTTGGTTTCTCCTAGAGACCTCCCTCCGAAAGGAGCGTGACTATGAGCCTGTTCTGGAGCAGCCGGGGCAGTTTCCACAGAGCTGAGGGGACAACGTCAAGGCTCTCGGTGCATTCCAACACATCACACTGCTTCATTTTCCCCACAATATGTTCTTCTTAGGGAAACTTGATGTATACAGTTTAGCAGATTAGCAAGCATATGAGGAATGTAAATATTGGTTATAATAATAAGGAAATTATTGTGTAACTCTGGGTTATTGAATACAAAGACATCTATTCAGCTATATACAGAACAGTGTGTTGGTAGATAACTCCATAAGGTTTCAAAACAAATAATTGTTAGCTGCTTCTGAAATTGTTCAGAACTTTAAAAACAGTACAGAGTTTGAACACTAAATCTACTAGGTTTCATTTTAATATATGGAATGAAGGTAAACACGGCCCAAAATGTGTGCTTATGTGTCTATAGAAAATTATCTTTATTTTGGTTGTATTTGCTTACAAAATGACTGTGTGTTTTAAACTTTGTTTAAAAAACACAAACACTCCTGAATTACCCACTGTAACAAGTGAATATGCCCCAAATGCTTCCCCTCCTCACTTACCTCCATGGTTATTTATCTTCCTAAAACATAACTACTAACTTGGTGAACAATACAACAGACTTTCTTGCCACAAATGGAAGACTATACATAGTTTGTTTGCTTACTTTTTCTCAATAATAAATCTTTTTATTATCTCCAGTAGATATTGCTCTACTTCATATTTCTCCACTGCTATGTATTCTAACCCTCACAAACCTCTCTTTCAGGAAAACACTAAAGAGCAGCAGGAAGAAATGGACAAAGGTAATAAAAAAGTGGCCCAGTATTTAAGGGAAAATCTCAATAATGAAATCGCTGCAAGTAAAAGAGACTCAAATGGCAGCAACAATGTCCAAGAAAGAGATAATGAGGATAACAATGATGATGAGGATGAGGATGATGAAGAGGAGGAGGAGGAGGAAGACGATGATGACGAAGATGAGGATGATGAAGATGATGAAGGAGAAGATGAGAGTGAAGGGAGTGATGAAGAAACAAAAAGAGAAGAGAAAGGCAAAATAAAGGAGCCAATCAGAAATGGTGAGAGCAGCTGCCAACAGAAAACTAACAAAGCCTTTGAAGAACAGAAAGACAGACCACAGGCCCAAGAAAAAAGTGAGAAAAAAATATCAAAATTAGACCCTAAAAAGTTAGCTCTAGACACCAGTTTTTTGAAGGTAAGTGCAAGGCCTTCAGGAAACCAAACCGACCTAGATATTAGCTTGAGGCGAGTTAGACAAAACGATCCTGACATGAAGGAACTCAACCTGAACAACATTGAAAACATCCCCAAAGAAATGTTACTGGACTTTGTCAACGCGATGAAGAAAAACAAGCACATCAAGACCTTCAGCTTAGCCAACGTGGGCGCGGACGAGAACGTGGCCTTCGCCTTGGCCAACATGCTGCGTGAAAACAGGAGCATCACCACGCTCAACATCGAGTCCAACTTCATCACAGGCAAAGGGATCGTGGCCATCATGAGGTGCCTCCAGTTTAATGAGACGCTCACCGAGTTGCGGTTTCACAATCAGAGGCACATGCTGGGCCACCAGGCCGAGATGGAAATATCCAGGCTTTTGAAGGCAAACAGCACACTCCTGAAGATGGGCTACCACTTTGAGCTCCCGGGTCCCAGGATGGTGGTGACCAATCTGCTCACCAGAAACCAAGACAAGCAAAGGCAGAAAAGGCAAGAAGAGCAAAAGCAGCAACAGCTCAAAGAGCAGAGGCGGTTAATAGCCGTGTTGGAGAGCGGCTTGGGGCTGCCACCAGGGATGTGGGAGATGCTGGGAGGACCGATGCCCGATTCCAGTTTGCAGGAGCTCCTCCAGCCTCCTCCTCGTCCTCCCAACCCCCCAGCCGCGCCCTTCGGTCGACGAAATGAAGTGATGAAGAAGCCATCGCAGTCCCCTCCATGCAGGACGGACGCTGACTCCTTCCGGGGCGTGAAGCTCAAGAGGACCCAGCGCAAATCCCGGATGCCAGAAGCCAGAGAAAGCGCTGAGAAAACCAACCTCAAAGATGTGATCAAAACACTGAAACCAGTGCCCAAAAATAGGCCACCGCCGTTGGTGGAAATCACTCCCAGAGACCAGCTCTTGAACGACATTCGTCACAGCAACGTCGCCTACCTTAAACCTGTAAGTAGAAGGAGGGAGAAGCGGTGAACGAGCACCACTCCGCCCGGCTCAGCCAGTCCCGCTCGGTTTAGCATCAGGACAGTCTCACTAACGGGCTCACTGAGGTCAGAATTACTGGTTACCCCCAAGGACATACACCTGCGTAGCTTCCGTAACAATAATATTAACATCGAACAGTCACTAGCACTTACTATAGGTGAGCTTCATTATATGAACTAACTCACGTGACCACCTTAACAGCCCCATAAGGTAGGTATCGGTATTCTCCCCATTTCACTGAAAGGACGCTGAGGCTTAGAGAAGCTAAGTCACTTACCTGGGTGGCACAGGTAGGAAGCGCTACACTTCACATTGAAATTCAGTTCCGAGTCCGGGGTCAGGCTTTAATTCCCGCCCGCGACACCGAGCTGGCCATGGAGGTCGCGAGGAGCCTGCGGTGGGAGTAAGAATGGCGCCTCGCGAGGCCGGTCATTTGCGGATGCCTGAGCGCTTCCAACCCGCGGAAAACTGGGTTCATTGCAAGTAGATGAAGGGAGACGAGCGGCAATTGCGTGTGTACTCCTCACGGTGTAGGCAAACGGTAGACTTCAGGTTAGCATCGCCACAAATTAGTAGTTTTAAGTATTTTACTACTATTTCCGTTTGAATATTTACTATGATTCACTATTACTGCTGCTGACATATGAAAATGTTCTATTCTTTGCAGGTTCAGTTACAGGAATAAATTTCTTCTGTCATTACTAAGATAGCTTTAATGGAAGCTGAAAGGTGTACGTCCAAGGGGCCCGGGTGGGTGATAATTAGCTATTATTTTAAATCTAGTGTGTAATTTTAGTCAAGAGATGACATTGACAAAATAGTTAATATATTATTTCATCATAGAGAGTCTTCATTTTGTGGTTGTTAATCCTCACCAGAGAATATTTTTCCATTGATTTCTTTAGAGAGACTGGAGGGGAAAGGGAGAAACAGAGAGAGAAACACGGATGTGAGAGAGACACATCTATTGGTTGCCTCCCGCGTGCGCCCTGACCAGAGCTAGGGATTGAGCCTGTAACCGAGGTCGTGCCCTTGACTGGAATTGAACCTGGGACCCTTCAGTCCACAAGCTGATGCTCTATCTATTGAGCCAAACCGGCTAGAGCTGGAGAATCACCATTTTTTCAAAATGTTTTAAACAAATTTTCCTGTAAGCGTGTTCTTTTTCTGCTTCAAAAAGCTATACATTATAAATGAAGGTAGCTGTTACTTACACAAACACACACACACACACACACACACACACACACACACACACACACCTAGGACCCTATTCTCATCCCCTGGCAATGCAGAGCTGACAACATTCCATTGTTCTAGATCAGAACTGGCTGTCACTTAGGCAGGAGTGCGGAAGCTTCTCTCTGCCCGGGGCCAGTTGGACATTCATAGCATCATTCGCGGGCCACAGAAAATTATCAGCTTAAAAATTAGCCTGCTCTATTTGGTCAAACATTTAGTTGACTCACCCCAGTGCCTTGGCAGGGCCAGCCCGAATGATTTCACGGGCCTCCTACCGCCTGCAGGCCGGACGCTCCCCACCCTGACGCAGGGGGACTGTGACTCTTGCTGGAGGTCACATGAGGTCAGGGCAGAGTTCTTTGCCTGCGCTTGGGCACAGCATCAAGATTTGCTGCACCTGCTCTTCTCCTGGCAGCCAGACCTCTGAGGGGTGGGTGAGGGGTTGCTTTGAGAGAAACTATCACTTCGGTAACTGGTCACCAGTAAAGCATATCCAGCTGCCTTGGTGGGGATACGGTCCGAAAATAACATTAGTCTGAAAAGAATGAAGAGAACTCTTTTTAAAATAGAAGAGAGGATGAAGTTCCAATGATCGTCTGACCCAGCTCCCTGCCTTTTGCGGGAATGTTCTACTGAGCAAACCTGCCCCCCCAAGTCTGTTCCACTCCAACTGACCACTCACCCATTAATGCAACAAATATTTACATGGTGCCCACCCCCCGTCAGGCCCCCTCCGAGGGGTCAGGGATGCCACCAGGGGTAAGACAGGTCCAGTCTCAATGGCATGGAGCATACAGTGCAGGTGTTGCCATCTTCATAGTCAAAGCACTGCCTTTTACTCAGCTGAGAGCACCAGATCCGAAAGCACAGGACACCCTCCATGTACCCCCTGCTCAGTACCTCACTTTACATTTCCGATCAGTTCTACGGGGTTATCGCTGTTACGTTGTGTTTGTTCATGTCGACTAAGAAAAGCACGCTTCCAAGTGCACTCTGAATGGGCTTTCCATGAGGTCCCCACATGGGCCTCCGCTTGGAAATGCCTTTCATGTGTGCAAGGGCGTGGCAACCCCGCTGCTGTCAGGGCCTGGCTTGGCCTGCGGTAGGCGCCTCTGCATGTGCCTCAGGGACAACATGTAAGATGGGGGGGGGGGCACGCATCGCCCCTGATGAAAATGCCCGTCGCTGCTGTCCGTCTGCTCCCGCTGCCCCGCTGCATACACAATAAACGTCTGCTTTAACGCCGAATCGTGGTGTAATCTGTAACAGACTTTTTAAATCTTTTTATTCTTAAATCATTGTAGACTTACAGAAGCTCAAAAATAGTACAAAATACCCATCACATATGGCCACCTCTGCCTTATCGTTCTTTAAAAGGTATTTTAAGTGGCACTACACCTGCGCATGTGCAGGGTCCACAGGGCCTGCGGCTCAATGGCGGTGCGAACAGTAAGGAAGGCTCTGGCGTGTGTGTGTGTGTGTGTGTGTGTGTGTGTGTGTGTGTGTGGCAGGGGGGGCACACACGCAGCTGGCCGTGGTGAACACCACTAACACTATTCAGGGCGCTTTAACCGGCCCAAAATGTGCATCTTCCACACGATGAAATACTGTAGATGCCAGCAGCTTGGCTATCACAAGGTGCCAGCACCAAGTGCCTTCGGCAGTCAGGGGAGATGCACCTGTGCCCACTTGGAGAGGTGAAGCTAAAGGCTTTGGGGTCCCCCCTCTTGTGCTGGAGGGCAGAGATGACCGCCCAACCCCTGGATTTGCAAGGATGCAGTTAAAATTGAAATACAATTTTGAAGTTTTGTGATTTTTCTTTTTACTGATGTTCCTAACTAGATTACTGAATGCCAAAAATGTGCTTAGAAATTACTTACTCCTAGAAAACTTAAAAAAAGAAAAAGATTATTTTCCTCTCAAGAACTTAGAAATATGATTTTTGTATTTTCTAGGATATATCTTATTAAGTAGTCCATTTATATCTTAAGATTGTATTTTTTCACTTTAATGTTTACTCTCTACCCCATGCTTCTGGCCCAAGACCCTGAAATGAAGTTGGCAGCACAGAATAAAGGAAAATCTGTTCAACTTGCTGGGCTCAAAGGTTACCTCCTCCAAGGAATTGCCCTTCTAACCAGCTTAAAGGACAGCGAGTCTGTAGGCCCGGTGTTGAAAACTGCCGGACTGCAGGCCAGCTCTGAAAGCCTGTGTTATTTGGCTTAGGTATGATTTTATAAAATACAGCACGTCACTTTAAAATGTCCAGCTACCTGGACCCCTTGCTGCATTAGACCAGCCCCGCTGGGACTGCATGTGCACGGCGCAAGTCAGCTGGCTCTGCACGGCCCTTTCTGCTTTTCCTCAGTACCCAACGTGCCCTGCTACCCAACACAGGCCTGCTTCCCTCCTTTCCCTTGCTTATTCGGCTCCCGTAGGAGGTTTTAGTTTTTGTCACTCTTGATGTTTTTAGCTTTCGTTTTGTCTAACAAACTGAATTTATTAGATAATGACTATAAATTAATAACTTACAATCAATACTAGAGGCCCGGTGCACGGATTCATGCACTGGTGGGGTCTCTCAGCCTGGCCTGCACCCTCTCGCAATCCAGGACCCCTGGGGGGATGTCAGACTGCTGGTTTTGGCCCGATCCCATGGGGCTGCCGAAACCAGCAGTCCAACATCCCCCGAGGGATAGAGCAGTGCAAGAAGCGGCAGGCAGCCTGGGAGGGCCAGGCACCTCCACTCCCACTCATCCTGGCCCCACTGTGGCTGCCTCCATTTGGTAGCGCTGCAGCAGAGGCAGGAGAGGCTCCTGCCGCCACAACTGTGCTCACCAGTTGTGAGCCTAGCTTCTGGCTGAGCAGCGCTCCCACTGTGGGAGTGCACTGACCACCAGGGGGCAGCTCCTGCGTTGAGCATCTGCCCCCTGGTGGTCAGTGAGCGTCATAGCGACCAGTCGAGTGGTCGACTGGTTGTAACAGTCACTTAGGCTTTTATATATATACTATAGGCCCGGTGCACAAAAATTTGTGCACTGGGAGGGGAAGGGGAGTCCCTCAGCCCAGCATGTGCCTTCTCACAGTCTGGGACCCCTCGGGAGATAACGACCTGCTGGCTTAGGCCTGCTCCCGGGTGGCAGAGGGCAGGCCCAATCCCTAGGTGCAGCCGCTGATTGGGTTCAGAGCAGGGCTGATTGGGGAGTTGGGGCGCCGCCCCCTGTCATGCACAGAGCAGGGCGGATCGGGAGGTTGCGATGCCACCCTCAGTCATGCTCAGGGTAGGGCTGATTGGGGGGTTGGGGCACCGCCCCCTGTCACTCACAGAGCAGCACCCATCAGGGGTTTGGGGAGCTCCCCCCTGTCATGCACAGAGCAGGGCCGATCAGGGGGTTGGGGCGCCGCCACTGTCACACTCAGGGCAGGGCCAAAGGGGAGGTTATGGTTCTACCCCGTCACACACAGAGCCGCAGGGCGATCAGGGGGTTTGGGCGCTGCCCCCTATCACGCTGATCCCGGTGCCGGGAGGCCTCGAGGCTCTGCTGATCCTGATGCTGGAAGGCATATTACCCTTTTACTATATAGGATGGAGGCCTGGTGCATGGGTGGGGGTCGGCTGGTTTGCCCTGAAGGGTGTCCTGGATCAGGGTGGGGGTCCCCACTGGGGTGCCTGGCCAGCCTGGATGAGGGGATGATGGCTGTTTGCAGCTGATCACACACCCTTCAGGGTGGGGGTCCCCACTGGGGTGCCTGGCCAGTCTGGGTGAGGGGCTGAGGGCTGTTTTCAGGCTGGTGGGTGACTGAAGCTCCCAACTGCTCCTTTTTTTCTTTTTTTTTTTTTTATTCTGGGCCAGCTTTAGCTCTGAGGCTCCAGCTCTTAGGCCTCCACTGCTGAAAGCAGGTTTCTGGCCTTTGTTTACCTTCTGTATTTGAAACAATGTTGCGATCCTGCTGGCTGAAGCCCAGCGACTAAAGCAGGTTTCTGCGGTTTTGTTTAGCTTCTATATTTGTAACATAGTTGCTTAGAGTTGCAGCTCAGAGGCCGGCAGCGGCAGGCGGGGAACGTTGGAGTCCTCCGTCACTGAAGCAAGCAAGCCTCATGTTCGCTTTAAGCTGCCTGGCTGCTGGCCGCCATCTTGGCTGGAAGTTAATTTGCATATCGCCCTGATTAGCCAATGGGAAGGGTAGCAGTTGTATACTAATTACCATGTTTCTCTTTTATTAGATAGGATAGATAGTAGTGCAAAACAAAGACATTAGGCTTGTACAGGCTTATCCCTCAAAGCAAATGCATGGTTTCCTCTCATTTGAAAATTCTGTGGTCCGTTTACTGCTCACCATCTAAGATGAGTATTTACATTCTTCTCAGAGGCCACCTACACATAATTTACATGCAAGCTTCTGTGCCAAACAAGGTACCTTCAACATTCTCTCATCCCCTTTGGGCTCGCCTCTGTGCATCCCTGCGCTGCTTCCAGCCGGCGCCTGCAGACACTGTCAGTGTCTCTTTGGAAAGGCTTTGGTGTAACATTGTAAGCAGCTGCCGTAGTCAAAACAGTCCTTATGGTCACAGAATGTAAGATTCTAGACTCTCGAGCCTCATCGCCAACTCTGGCCATTTCTCCCACGTCTCATTTATAAGACCTTCTCTCTCTTTAACAAGGTTCTCCAGATCCTCTCCTTCTGTGATTTTTCTCCTCTTTCCTGTCTTACCTTCTCCCCTTGTTTCAATGACCACATAACGTGGGACAACCCCTGAGGCTCCCTTTCCCAGGTTGAGCTCTTTCTTTAGGCCTGTTATTGTTCCCGCTCCCGTTTCCCCGCTGTCTCCATTCCTGCACACCTTCAGGTCTAAGGCCCAGAGTTCTCTTTTTTTTAATTTTAATATGTTTTTATTAATTACAGAGAGGACAGGAGAGGGAGAGACAAAAACTTCAATGATGAGAGAGAATCATTGGTTGGCTGCCTCCTGCATGCCCCACACTAGGGATCGAGCTGCAACCCGGGCATGTGTCCTGACTGGGAAGGGCTTCCCTTCCCTAGCTGTCGGCTGCGGGCCAGGGCCTTCCTTCATTCCGCACCACCCCCTGGTGGTTAGCACACGTCATAGCGAGTGATCCAACTCCCGGTCTCCCGGTTGAACTCCCGAGGGGACACTTTGCATATTAGCCTTTTATATATACAGATTTGCCTATATTTTCTGGCTGCTTTTATAGTTTTATTTATTTAATATCCCATATCACAGGCAAATCAACGGGGAAATGTTGAAGTAGGAAGTAAGAAGTCTGCTTTGCTACTTCTTCCCCAAGCAGCCAGCCACTGGCCATGTCGTGGCTCACTCCCACTGTTGCCAGGACCTGGACTGCCCGCTTGGCCCTATTTTAAAAAGTCAATGGCTCTGGCTTACTACTAGGTCGGTGCCACCTTTTGCTTTTAAGATATTTTTTATTAATTTGGAGCCCTGTTGTGCATATGAACATGTATTGAGAATAGTGCTGTATAAAATGTGTTCTTATTTCCACTCAACAACACAGAGAACACACTGTCTTACTCATTTCTTGCAGCTTTGCAGCTATTTTTGCTCCTTGGTTCCTCACTGTTGGTGTTCTCCCCGTAAGCCCTGCCGAGTGCAGTCACGGCTCCCTCCGCGAGCCTGGCGCTGGGAAGGAGAGGCCAGGCCGCACGCGCGAAGGGCTGCGGTCTGAAGGTTGTGAGGCAGCAGCACATCAGAGTCCTCTTTGTGGGAGGATGTGAGGGAACTTTTCTAGTCAAAGGTCATGGGCAGAGAACCAGCTGCAAGAGAGGCCATAGCAGATGGCCAGGATGGGTCATCACATGGGCAGGTGGGCATGGGCCACACAGGAGAAACAGCCTCGGTCATTACTATTCAAACGCTGTGGGTCCCCGGCCCTCTCCAGCGTCCTCTGGAAGGTGGCGTGTATGCGATGGTGAGTCACCCTCTGAAGATATAACACCACATGGAACCCCGGAAGAACTGGCCTTAAGTCGTTCCTATGAAGCAAAGCTACAAGCTCATTTGCAGCCAGACTTAAGCTTCTCTTTTGTGAATAACATCTTGTTTTTAAATTTTAGTGAGCACCAAAGTAGGACCATGCTTCACACAGGAAAGATGGGTTGTTAAAATAATGTATATGGGTGTGGTGGTATTTTTTGGTGGTTGAGATATAAGTACTGAAATCAGACTGACCTGGGTTCAAACCCTGCTCTGCCACTTCCCACTGTGTGACCTTAAGCAAGTTACGTACCCTGTCTGAGCCTGTACCTCTTTACAAGGAAAAAATGTTTTTTAAAATATGTGTTATAAAATAAACAAACAAACAAAATGGAAACAGACTCGTAGATACAGAGAAGAGAGGGGAGGGTTGAGGGACTGGGTGGAAAAAGCGAAGGGATTAAGAAGTACACGTTGGCAGTTACAGAGCAGTCACAGGGATGAAAAGTACAGCAGAGGGAATATGGTCAATAATATCTTAATAACTGCTCAGATGGGTACCTGAAATATCCAGGGAGAACCACTCTGTACAGTACATGATTGTCTAACCACTACACTGCACATCTGGAACTAATGCAGAGTAATATTGAATGTAAGCTGCAATTAAAAACAAAGGGGAAAAATAACTGTGAACATTAATTACTAATTTGTCGTATATTATCCGGTCCTTAAGATAGCCTTGTGAGTTAGATGCTGCTATTGTCATCTTACACCTGAGAAAGGTGATGCCCAGTGCCACAGGCTGGTGCTAGTCCCAGGAGGTGACCAGGCGACGCCAGCACGCGGCCTGGCTTCTATGACATGCTTCACTGTGTGCGCACAGCCCTGGATCAGCTCCCAGCTTCAGCAGATGCCCAGTGAAGGGTGCCTGTGGGTGTTTTATCATGAATTCAGGGGCTCTCTGGCCAGAATTTCTACTCCAGTGTACATCCTTTGAGGCATGTAAATGTCATTTTTGCTGTAAAGCTCTTGAATTTCCAGGATTGATTCTTCCCCTTTCCTTCAAATGCTTAAATCACAGGTGCAACTGCCAAAAGAACTGGAATAAGAGGCCACAGCCTAACCTAGAAGAACAGGAATTGGAATAAGGACTTGGACTGGAGCTTGAGGCTGTATCAGCAGCGTGTTCTGGATCCAGGTGGAATGGGAACAACGCTAACGTCTGATGGAAGAATTTTATAAAAGGCAAAATGCTTGGCACATGGCAGTATGTGGCTGACAAGGAAGAGGAAGGAGACTAAGTAGTGATATTCAGGGGCAACATTTTCTACTTGCCATCAGTTTGAGTAACTATGGTGAAATTTAGTCATGCTCCCAGCACAAAAGTTAAAAAAACAAAACATTTTTTTGTAAACATTCGCTTTACTGTTGCTTTCTTCTGCTAAGTAACAATAAATACTATAGAAGTGTTACTAGTATAGTTCCATTTTTTTTTACCTTCCATCTCCTGTGCTGTAATTCACCACACCGTATCTTAAAGGAACAACTCATGTTTCATCTCCGGAAATGTGGTGGGGGACTTGAGCTCCAGGCCCTTCTGCTGCTTTGAAATGGAAGAATCATTAATTAGCTCCTCTCTCAGAATCCATTGGGGTTTCCAGTTTCCAGCCACGCCTGGCTTTCTCCCTTGGCCATTCTCCTGGGGCTTTGGGATACACTTCTGACAGAAGTATCTGTGAGGAGCAGAATGTGTAAGCCACAGGACATGGAGAAAACAGTGTTTCCAGAAAACCCAATGGAGAAAGTAAACCCTTTATATACACAAAACCTTCCCTATTTCCAAACACATAGGGACAGTTATTGTCTCAATGCAAGGTTTTGTCGAGAGACAGGTGAAATTGTTCACATTATGCTTTTTCTATTGACCTACTCCCTCACTAAAAATCTCTACATTGAAGATTTCAATTTGTTTTTAAAATGTAGTAATTTCCCCCAAAATGTTTGCTTCTTGCCTGATTGAGAGGGGGATCACTGAGTTATCACCCTGCCTGTTAGATAGGTGATGTGAAGTGGGCATGGAGGCCCAGGGGCTATTACTGCCATTTGGAAATACTCACAATCTAACATTTTATGACATGTTAGTGATGGCAGACTCTGCACAAAGTGGATAGCCAAGTTACTACTGTGAAGAGACCAAATACTGAGGATAGATTTTCCAAAGATAATAATCACATGATGTCTGCATTTTATCATGGATCTGAGTGCATCCTCTAAAAATGGAATGTAACAAAAACCCAGGGCATTTTTAGAAATTGTATGCTATCTAGCAACTTTGTGTACTTATAGAAAATGTTATAAAAATAGAAAAAATGTAATAGTTTAGAGCATTCACATGCTACTTTTCTAGAATGTACTAATTAAAATGAGTACGTTTTCCAATTTCAACTTGTCACTTTCTCCAAGTTTATTGTATTTAGTCAGCAGAAAACATCATGTAGAAAATGGAAATGGCTAAAATGTGTATAAACCCATGTCAGGTTTTAAAAAGGACCTCATTGGGACATCAAAATTACAACTAAATTATAGAGTAACCATCATTCAGAACCACCTGCAATCAAGCTGAATGGAAGTCCTACAAGTAAGGATATGTAGAAGAAGCCACATCGAGACTGGTAGGAGAGATGGAGACGTGGACTAGGCTGGGCCCACATCCACATGTGGCAGATAAAAGTTGGGAGGGATATCTCCACTGCAGAAGTCCCCTCTGAGGAGCAAGGGGTCTCAGTCCCATACCAGGCTCCCCGGCCCAGGGTTCCAATGCCAGGAAGAAAAGTCCCCATAACTTCTGGCTGTAACAACCAGCAGGGATTGTGGCTGAGGGAGACAGAGGGCTGCTGGAGTTCCAGATGTTCCTCTTAAAGGACCCACAAACAGACTTACTCAGACTCACCACTCAGCTCCAGCACTGGGGCAGCAGCTTGAAGGGTACCAGGTACAGACAGGGAGGAACTGAATTCTCTGGCATCAGGGCTGGAGGGGTGGATTTCTCAGACAGAAGTGCAGGCAGAGGCCATTGTTCCTTTGATGAGCCCTTTCTCCACAGAGCTGGCGGGCAGCTGCCATATCTGGGATTCCATCAACCTATCTCACACTGTTTGCCTCACCCTGGTGATTCCACCAAACCCAGCCCCAGCCAACTTGTAGGCCCACCCAAGCTATTTCCAGTGGCTTTTCCATACAAATAGCCTATCTTGGCTCATGCCTCAGACTTTCCTAAAATCTCTCAAACAAGAAATATCTGGCCTCGGTGTACCTCTCACTAAGTGGCTCCAGGCCCAGCACTAGCAGCAGCCAGCCTTGGTTCACACAGCTTGGCCTCTCCTGGGCACATCTAAGCCCAGCACAAGTAGCAGCCATCTGCAGATCGCTTTGTAGTTTGTGCCAGGAGGCCCCAGGCAGAACACAGGCAGCGACTGAACTTGGCCTGCACCTCCCAGAAGGCCCCAAAGCCATAATACCTGGTTGACAGCTTCAGGCCACATCAAAGCACCACCCAACTACCTCCACAAGGGACACGCTCAAGGGTGGACTCAGCAGTCACCAGAGCCCAGATGAAGTAGGTCCTGCTCCTTGGGGTGGGCCCCTGCACTGCTGATCCTCCAGTGCTCACAGCCAGTCCTTGCAACTGATCAGCCTGGGGCTAAATCCCTGCTATTGACATGCCAACAGCAATCACGGCTTAACTACAACAGGAGGGTATACACAGCCCACACAGGGCTTGGGGCACACACCTGGAGTGCCCAGCTCAGATGAACAGGGAGGCCCTGCCACTGGGTCCTTACAGGACACCTACTACATTAGGCCAGCCTACCAAGCCATGGAGACAGAGCAGCTCGACCTAATACATAGAGGCAAACATAGGGAGGCTGCCAAATGAGGAGACAAAGAGCCACCAAATGAAAGGACAGAGCAAAGCTCCAAAAAAGAACTAAACAAAATGGAGACAAGCAGGCTAATAGATGCAGAGCTCAAAACACTGGTTACAAGGATGCTCAGTGAGCTTAGTGAGAGCTTCAACAGCATGAAAAAGGGTATGGGGCCAAAAAAAGAATGCGTCAGAAATAAAGGGTACACTAACTGAAATGAAGAGTAATTTATAGGGAATCAACAATAGAGTTGATGAAACAAGAATCAAATCAGTGATTTGGAATATGAGGAAGCAAAAAATATCCAATCAGAACAGCAAATAGGAAAAAGAATCCCCCCCAAAATGAGGATACTATAAGGAGACTCTGGGACAACTTCAAGCGCACCAACATTTACATCATGGGGGTGCCAGGGGAGAAGAGAGCAAGAAATTGAAAAACTATTTGAAAACATAATGACAGAAAACTTTCCTAAACTGGTGAAGGAAATAGACATACAAGTCCAAGAAGCACAAAGAGTTCCAAACAAGATGAACTCAAAGAGGCCACACCAAGACACATCATAATTAAAATGCAAAAAGTTACAAAGAAAGAATCTTTAAAAATATGAACAATAAAATGACAATAAATACATATCTATCAACAATTGAATCTGAAAAACAAAACAAATGAACAAGCAGAACAGAAACAGATTCATAGATACAGAGAACGTTTTGACGGTTGCCAGATGAGAGGGTTGGGGGATGGGTAAAAAGGTGAAGGGATTAAAAAGTATAAATTGGCAGTTACAAAATAGTCACAGGGATGTAAGGTACAGCATAGGGAATACAGCCAATAATATTGTAATAACTATGTATGGTGTCAGATGGGTATGAGATATATCAGGATGATCACTTAATAAGTTATGTAAGCCCTAACAGGTTTGGCTCAATGGACAGAGCATCGGCCTGGGGACTCAAGGGTCCCAGGTTCGATTCCGGTCAAGGGCATGTACCTTGGTTGCAGGTACATACCCAGTAGGGAGTGTGCAGGAGGCAGCTGATCAATGTTTCTCTCTCATCGATGTTTCTAATTCTCTATTCCTCTCTATAAGAAATCAATAAAATATATTAAAAAATAAGTTATGTAATGTCTAGTCACTGGGGTGTACACATTAAATAATATAATGTAAACTTTAATTGAAAAATGAAAAAATTATTTAAAAATCTTAAAAGGATCCCATTGGAATTCAATTTTATTCAGGCTGGGAATTTATAATAAAGTACTAAGGTTTTATTAAACAGTATTTGAAATGCAATATGAGTGTTTACTGTGTAGTATATCATTTATAAAACCAAGTTGTCCCAAGTTTCTTAGACATTTAACACAGATGTGCATTAAATAAAGGCTCACAAACAAACCTTTGAAACATTTTATTCTTCATATTCACGTCAGGGTACAATTCCTAGACCATGTCTGTGAAGTCGTGATGACGTCACTGTGCTAAAGATGAAGGCTGCAGGCTGGCTGAGAAATTAAAATGCGGTGGCCTCTTACTCTGGGACACACCGCGCCCCCTCACGGAGTGCTGCTCCACTGTCTTCCCGATTCAGCCGGAGGGAAACCAAAATGTGTCCTATTCCCCTATGAAATCACTTTGTATAATCTATTTCTAAACATAACACATGGGGAAGGAGAGGAAGAAAGTCACAATATATGAACACATGCTATCTTAATTCATGTCTATCTATCAAACACATGGTTGTAACAATTGCTGCTTAACGTTTCTATGAACTGCCAATGCTGGTGATCACACCACTTTCATTCCCATTTTAAAGTCTTTTCCTTGATCATCTAAAGATGCTTTTCAGATTTCAAACAACCAGCTATTCGTGTCCTCGCTGTGCCCCTGAGAAATTAAAACACACATTCATTTTAAAACTGAAAATGAAAAAATATAGGAAACGTTATCTCAGACACCTTTCTGTTGTTATAACAACAAAAAACGTGGGATAGAGACATAACTTGTTTATTACTTTTTAAAGAAGAAGACAGGGTACACAGCTGTGAGTGCCTTAAGGAAGATGACATTCAGTTTGCAGCAAATGCCTGCTGGTAAAAACACATGACTAGCACTTCAAAAATTACAAAAATTCGACAAAATATTCTCCGAAACATCTATCTATATATTTGTAAACAAAATATAAACAACTGGTTTGTCCAGTTTCCTCTGCATGTCAAACAGGAGGCAAAGGGATAGAGATCATTTTTTTATTTTAAAACAATAAACACTAAACTAAGTTATAGCCCACATATAATCCTGGGGAATACATTTGGAGGATGCTGGGGGATTGAACAGGCTAATGCATGTCATTATCTACGTGATCAGTCTTTCCATTTACTCATTGCCTTGAACTCTACAGTTGCTTTTTTTTCCTATAACTGTATTGTGGCTGTACAATCAATTCCTATATTTTCTTTTATTCCCCTACAGACATAAGTGTGCTCCATTTCCTATCAGTTTTCATAAACATAGTTGAAAGTTCAGACAGACTGGGAGGGGGTTCCTTTCGGTTCCTGGGCCCTCTGTCTTGTAACAACAGAGGCGTTAACAGTTTGGCCTGCAGATGCATGCGGGCCAATTGCTGGGTGGAATGTCCCCCCTCATCTCAAAGATACAAACAGAAAGTGGGTCTGGACGAGGCAGCTGCACCTGGCGCTCTGCGGCAGCCCTCGCCCGGCCGCCGGTTCACTCCTTCGCTTTGCTGAGATAGTCAGTGAGCTTGCCCAGGCTTTCTTCCTGCTGCTCCAGGGCGTCCAGCACGATGCCCATGGGCGTCCTCTTCAGGCCGATTCCCTCCATCTTATTCTCCAGCTTGTTCTTGAGGTTGCGAAGCCTGAGCGAGGCATGGATGAACATCACTGCGGAGAGGGGAGACATGGAGACACGTGAGCTGCCTCCCTCCCATCCACAGCACACGCTCTCCTCCCGTCCATCCCCACCTCCTTAGCTGGAGTCCACCGGTTCTCTAACCCGTCCAAACCCTCACATGCCCCTCGGACGGCACAGAAGGGCTCATAGGGCGTTTTCTTCTCGTGCGAAGAAAGGGATTGCCTTCAGCAGGAAGGATGCGGCCCAGCAGCCACACTCTTCCCACCTGCACAGACGCCGCCACCTTCCAGCTGCTACTGCAATCCCGACATTCAAAGCCGCCTACATGCTCCAGCCACAGCCAAGCCTGCCTCGCACAGCGTGTCCGGAGAGGAACTCAAGCTCAGCTCTGAGCTGACCAGGGATGTGTGGTGAAGCCCGGCCAACAGGCGGTTTTCTGAAGTGTTAGACATAGATTTATAGGCCAAAACTAACAGTTCTGTAGATTTTTAAAAGTAGCTTATTGATTTTTAGAGAGGAAGGGAGAAGAGAGAAACACCCATGTGAGAGCATAACATTGATGGGCTGCCTCCTGCACGCCCCTAACGGGATGGAGCCCATAACCTTTCGGTGCACGATGCCCAACCACCTGAGGTGACAGCTTTATAGATATAATGTACCTCATGTTCCCCAAATTTGCTTCATCATTGAGAATTACCAAAGTTTGTTTATTAAGAAACAGATTTGCCCGACTAGCCTGCCTTAGTGGTTGAGCATCGGCCTATGATCCAGGAGGTCACGGCACATGCCTGGGTTGCAGGCTCAATCCCCAGTGTGGAGCGTGCAGGAGCAGCTGATCAGTGATTCTCTCTCATCATTGATGTTTCTATCTCTCTCCCTCTCCCTTCCTCTCTGAAATCAATAAAAATATTTTTTTTTAAAATATGGTTGGAAGTTTTATATTTTTATAAAGCATCCTGGGTGATTCTCATAATCAACGAAGTTTGGGAACCACTTATCTTGTCTAATTTCCTGTAGTTTATAGAATGTGTGAACTACAGCCCATATCGTATGCCTGATCCAAATCACATGGCTGGTTCCCAGCAGGTGTAGGAATAGAAACCAAGACCTTTGACTCGCTACCGATGAGAACTCTCATTGCACTGCCTGTCTCAGGCTCTGAGGTGGAAGGTGCTCAAGTTAACAAGCTGTGTGCCTAAGCAGAATCACTGAAATACTGACCCAGCCTCTAGCACAGAAGGAAAGCTTGAAGAATATTTCAAAAAGTAGCAATTTGCTGGTTTAAGTATTTTGTCAAATATTGTGGGGGATTCATCTATAAATATTCTTAATCTAACACAACACCAATTGATTTTACTTAATGAAATAATGTACATGTGAAATGTTATTAAAAGTTAAAGGGATGTTCCTGTCACTTAATACACTAGAATTTTAATCAGATTTCTGCCAATGAGACTGAATTTGATATGTTCTCTATTTCAGGCTTCATGTGCCTGGAATCTCAGTTAAAAAAAACAAACAAAAAAAACCCAAAATAACTTACAAACTATCTACTCCTCACCAGAACCGGAGCACTTGGTATCTATTTCTGGGCCAACTATTTCTATAGGCTTATAAAACTTTTGACACCAATAATGATCTTTTTCCTCTCGCTAGAGAACACTTATTTGAGAAAGTGCACTCGAAGAGAAATTTCCAGTGGGCGGCTCAAAGCGCTGCCTCGTGATCTCCCGAGCAGCAGAGAGTTAAGTAGGTGCTTCCCAATGACCCCCATTCACTCCCGAGTGAGGACTGTGTGAGTGGCGTGAAGACTGACAGCAGACCCCTCTCAGGCAGATCTGCAGCCCAGTGTCGCTGGGCCCCTGCCTGCCGTGGCTGGGGAGTTGTATTTCTTTTGTTTACTGTTGTGTCCCCAGAAGAGATCTGGCACTGAGCAGTACCCAGTACATATTTGTAGAATTAATGTACTACAGGCCTGGATCTGCTATTTCAGAAATTCTGATAATTTTGCAGACATGCCAACGCACGTAAGAAACAGGTTATGATGTAATACGTTCAACAATAAATAATTTAAATCAACAAAAGAAACAGGTTATGTAATCCCCACTGAACAATCCCTCCCACGTTTTTTACGATGTAAGAAAAGTCAGTTCTGGCTCACTTACACAACAAAGGGAAAGTGATGCCGAACACGAAGACCATGACCCCCCCGAACATGGAGATGAGGAAGTAGCTCGCCACCATGACCACCATGACAAAGGTCGTGGGGTACCGCTTCTTCATCCGGCGGAGGACGTCTTTATTGTGGGCGGCCCACACAAATCCTGTGAACACGAGCACCACCACAATCCCCCCAAGGATCATGTTGAAGGGGCTCAGGAACCTGGAACGAGAGAAAAAAGGGAGGCTGGGTCAGTAGTGGCAGCAGCAGGAAGAGGAAGATGAGGACGGGGAGGAGTTGAAACAAGTGTGTAGCATTTACTAACTAAATATTGTATCTGAATCGCTTCATTTAATCCTTAGAACCAGATAAAGCAGATACCACTCAGTCATTTCTCAAAAGAAGAAACTTAGGTGCAGAGGTAAGAAAATGGTGGAGGTAAGATTCACACCTAGGCAGTTTAACTCCCGCCAGACTCGTCAGTTCATCTCCTTAGAGTCCCACAGTTTTAAAAGATTTGTCAAACTTAGAAGACCCCCTTCTTGGGAGGGGCTGTGTTTAGCGTTCATTCTTTGGGCTCTAGTACACATGAAAGTGTATTTTCTGAGGGCTTACTTAAATCCTTATACATGGCCATGATAGGCGATTGTAGCATAGAGCAGTGGTCGCCAACCGGTGGTCCGCAGACCACGGGTGGTCCGTGAGGTCCAAAAGCTTGGCGGCCGCTGGCATAGAGGTCACACAATAGCCTCCATGGGCCAGATCTAGTCTACAGTCAAATCTGTGTTTGAAATGCACTGTGCATTAAAAAAAAACTTTTACTCTAAAAAAAGACCCCGAATAGCTACAGCTATCCCGAAAAAAAAGAACAAAGTTGGAGGGATCACAATATCAGATATCAGGCTATATTACCAAGCCACAGTTCTCAAAACTGCCTGGTACTGGCACAAGAACAGACATATAGTTCAATGGAACAGAACAGAGAACCCAGAAATCAACCCAAGCCACTAGTCTCAATTAATATTTGACAAAGGAGGCAAGAGCATACAATGGAGTCAAAACAGTCTCTTTAATAAATGGTGTTGGGAAAATTGGACAGATACTTGCAAAAAAAGGAACTAGACAACCAATTTAACACCATACACAAAAACAAACTCAAAATGGCTAAAGGACTTGAATGTAAGATGGGAAACCATAAAAATCCTACAAGATTCCATAGGCAGCAAAATTGCCGACATACATTGTAGCAATATCTTTATAGACACAGCTCCTAGGGCAAGGGAGACTAAAGAGAAAATAAACAAATGGGACTACATTAAAATAAAAAGCTTCTGCACAGCAAAAGAAACCATCAACAAAACAACAAGAAAGCCCACTGCATGGGAGAACATATTTGCCAATGATATTTCCAATAAGGGTTTAATCTCCAAAATTTATAGAGAACTCATACAACTTAACAATAGGAAGATAATAGATCCAATCAAAAAATGGGCAAAGGATCTAAATAGACACTTTTCAAAAGAAGATATACAGAAGGCCCAGAGACATATGAAAACATGTCAAAGTCACTAATCATCTGATAGATGCAAATCAAAACTACAATGAGATACCATCTCACACCTGTCAGAATGGCTACCATCAATAAATCAACAAATGACAAGTGCTGGAGAGGATGTGGAGAAAAAGGAACCCTCGTGCACTGCTGGTGGGAATGCAGACTGGTGCAGCCACTGTGGAGAACAGTATGGAGTTTCCTCAAAAAACTAAAATGGAACTCCCATTTGACCCAGTGATCCCACTTCCAGGAATATATCCCAAGAAACCAGGAACACCAATCAGAAAGGATATATGCACCCCTATGTTCATAGCAGCACAATTTACAATAGCTAAGATTTGGAAACAGCCTAAATGCCCATCAGCAGATGAATGGATTAGAAAACTGTGGTACATCTACACGATGGAATACTATGTCAATATAAAAAAGAAGGAACTTTTACCATTTGCAACAGCATGGATGGAACTGGAGAGCATTATGCTAAGTGAAATAAGCCAGTCGGAGAAAGATAAATATCACATGATCTCACTCATTTGTGGATTATAGAGAACAACATAGACTGATGAAAAGGGACAGACTCAAAGACCGAGAAACAGCAATCAGGCTATCAATCCCCAGAAGGAAAGTAGGGGAGGGCGGGGGTAAGGGGAAGAGATCAACCGAAGGACTTGTATACATGTATATAAGCCATACCAATGGACATGGACAACAGGGGGATGGGAGCATGAGTGTGTGTGGGGGGGAGGTTGGGGGTTAATGGGGGGGATGAGGACACATTTGTAATACCTTAACTAATAAAAAAAAAAAAAATGTGGGATATAATGATCAACATAATTTGATGAATAAGAATAGATCCAGAGACAAATTATAGGGGAGTGGGGGAGGTTAGAGAGCAACCAAAGGACTTGTATGCATGCCTATTAGCATAACCAATGGACACAGACACTGGGGCAGTGGGGTTTCCCAGGGTAGGAATGACGGGGGGGGGGGGGGGGTGTCAACTGGGGAAAAAGGAGACACATGTAAAACTGTAGACAATAAAAAAAAAAAAAGAAAAAAAAAAGGCAAAGTTTTCAAGTCATAAAAAAAACAAAAAAACTTTTACTCAAGTCCCAAAGAGTTTAAAAAGTCCATAAAACTTGGGATTTCTTGCTTCTTGTGGAAACATGAAAATCTAACAAGACCAGGTCCACTTTCCCACATGTCAAGGGCTGGAATTGCCTTCCTGCTCAGATCGAACAAACATCTCTCTCTTGCCCCAGTCTCCACCACTACCTCCGGCATCTCGGACACAGAGGCCCCAGTGAGCTGCCATTACTCATCGTTTATCTAATAATTGGCCTGCAGCCTCTCTTACATGACTAGCCCAGCCGTGGAGGCATTTGAGTTTATGATTCCTGGCATAGAGAGTCCATTGTAGTTCTTTAAAAGGGCCCCGAGCATCACTGAGAGATGGGTTACCAACTGGAATTTCCAAATACAGAGCTCGCAGATTCACTGGTCCATGAGTCAAAGGTTACACTACTGTTGATAATGGGAGAACACACTGGGCAGAGGAAATTTAGACCAAGTATTTCACAAGCAAACATGACACTGCACCCCACCTCCACCCCAACCCACTGTGCATACAAAACCCTTAACAAGACAGTTGTGGTCAACAAGTACATAAGTTACTAGCATTTTACCCTCACAAGAGGCTAACGAGCATTTTACTTGGGGAGGACAATGAGGGTCACTGTGTTTTCATCATGCTCTGGATGTCACCATGAGGGGCTGCGAGGGACGGGGAAGACAGGATAATAATGACAGGTGAGACCAACAGCTGACTCCCTCTGAAACAGAGGAGGTTTCATATTCATGCTGGGATTCATCTGTAGGATAACTAAGAAACTTCCTTTAAAATCCCTTTCAACTTTAGCTCTGATTCTACCTCTTAAAACACAAAAGCTATTTTAAATAGTTTCAAATAGGAGTGAACGTATTGCATAGCTTAATGGGTGAATCAAGGATATAATCAATGTCAAAATGCTTTAACAAGTTATTCTATTAAAAGGCAGGGAATTAAACAGTGGAATCTAATTTAAAATTAAACCCTACAAAAATAAATTGTTCATTTCATTCAAAACTTTTGCAAATACTTAAATCCCTCCCTAGAATAGAGTCTAAGGAAATAATAAGAAATGCAAAGATTGAGTTGTAACATGAGTGGTATTTATGATTAAAAACGTTTAGAAATAACCTATAGGGACCAAAATTTATTAGATGGTGGTATATACAGCAGTTTTTTAAAAGTTGAAGTATAATTAATAATATGGAAGATATTAATAACATATTGCATGGGTAAAATCAACTGGAACACAGTCTCTCTGTTAGGTAGATTTATCATATTTGTTATACAGCTCAGAAGCAGAAATTAATACAATTAGTATATTATTTTGTGATCAGAAATAATATGAACATATAAAAAAAGAAAATACAAAAATATAAAAGCAGCTGTTCCCAGCTCCACACCCAGGCGTGGCACAGCTAATACAAGTTGCGTTCGTGTCATCAGTGACCTGAACGCAATTTCCACTCCTAAGCACAGTGAGGCGTCCCTTCTCTCACTCCATCCTTGGCTCCTGCCCCCAAGCTTCCCCAGCATCCAGCCCCTGTGATGGTCTGTCTGTCCTCCTCTCCAGTTATTACCTGGATCTAACTAGTCTCTCTGTACTTTTTTCATTTCTTTTCTTTTTAAAATTTTATGTGGTTTTACCGTACCTCCTGACTTAACCGGGTAATTGGTCTGAGAAAGACAAACATTTCCTTATAGGCCTCAGGAAGAAAAGAATTGGACAGGCAAAAGCAAAATCCTCTTCAGCAGGCGGCGGGGAGACTCAGTGGAGAGGCCCAGAGACGCTCACGGGTCAATAGATCTCATCCTAACGCCAACAGGAATCTGAGAGAAATGACACTGAAGACTACAGCACTTCTAGTGGGTAGTAGGATCATGGCTCGTTTATTTCCACTTGCTTATTTCTATTTTCATGTTTTCAATAACCAAGTATTACTTAAATATTTTAAAAATTGATATTTAAAAACGAACAAATGAAAGTGAGAAAAGGTACCTGAAAGAAACAAACCCTTTTACGTAGCCTTGACATGGACCTAGAACTCACCCAAATGTTTCTGAGCTGTAAAGAAAAGACCAACATTATCGCAAAGAACTAGAGTGGAGGTTCAAGTTTCAGGAGGTCCTTTGCATAAAATGTAAATTGAAGATGACTGGTTGACAGCAAAATGTCAAAGGTCTCCTACCCAGTTCTTTCTAGAATACCTATTGAAATAATTCATGAAGTGAGCATGTAATAAAATGCATGCCAAGCTTTTTTTATTTTCCTCTGGACAAGTAAAGTAGCTATCGGGGTTGAATGTCTAAATAAAGCCAAGGACAAAAGAACAATGAACAATCCAGGCCTGACTCAAGCCATTCCAGATTTGCTCTTCACCTGTTCCCGTTGCTCATGTTCAAGGGGAAGGGACAGAGCAAACAGATAGAACTGATGGGAGTTTACAACATGCCCAGTCACAATCTATAACTAGAAAGTAACCAAACTTCTAAGCTGGAAAAAATGAACAAAATTACTCAGAGCAGAAATGACTTCCTGCTTTATTCGGATTACAGGCA